CCATCCCAGAACCCGGTGTCACAAGTGCATGAGCAATTTCTAAGAAAGAATATAATACGACAACCGTCCGGAATACAATATTGGACAGGAAATAAATGCAGATAACTGAAAGAGACTCTGCTGGCTGCGGGTCGCCTCGAGAATTGCAGCTCACCTAAGTCTCCGTATCAACCATGCTGCTACGCCCAGTAGGCCACTAGAGTTACGTATACCTGTGCAACAAAAATGCACAGAAGTGTAGTATGAGTACGAAAACAACGTGTACTCAATGAGTATCCCGCCTAATCTCGAAGAAGTAGAGACGAGATGGCAACTTCGACACTTACTAAAGGTCCAGTAATAATATTATTAATGCGATGACTCACAGATCCAATAAGAACAATACTAAAGTTCAAATGAGTCACTAAACAGGTGAAAGCTCCTTTTTAATTAAAATCTCCGGATTCATAATCCATTAATTGACAATTATCTCAAGCCGGGGAAAGCAGGTATTAGTATCAACAACTTTCACAGAAAGCAATACAAGCATGCGCAACTCATGCCGAGGACGTACGGCCCGATCCAATAATATGTAAACTGTGCACTGCCGAGGGTCGAACGGCTCGAACCATAGATGCATCTATTACCTCGCTCGCGAACTATCCATGCGACGCGGTCAACATAAAATAAACAATCACCCTGCTCGCGAATCATACATGTGACGCAGGCACACATAGAAATACATGCTCAGATAGCCAATTAAGAATTTATCGGGGAATATTTATTCAATAAAAGCCCCTTTCTCTTTTAACAATTTAAGAAAAGAAGTTTAATCCTTTTTGAAATTTATTTAGCAATTCGACAGGATTTAGGCAATTCAACTGTAAACAACATTACAATTATTCCAAGTACAACATACTTTTGGGTCCTAGACTACCCGGACAATAATATAATAGTAGCTACGCACGGACTCTCGTCACCTCATGCGTACGTAGCCCCCACAAATAGGAGCACATAACCAATTTTTTCACCTATGGGGACAATTCCCTCGTACAAGGTTAGAAAGGAGACTCACCTTGCTCCGAAATTTCCATAACCGGTTTCCAAGCCCTTCCAACGACTCCAATTGATGCAGAACGCCCCAAAACTATTCAAATAACGGGCAAACCAATAAAAATTCACTCTAATACTTGTAACAATTCAAATTATATAAATTTCCAACTCCACTCGAAAAGTTGACCAAAATGCCCTCGGGCCCACGTGCCCGGATTTCGAAATTTCTCGAAGATAAATTCTACCCATAGCTTTACTAAGTCAAATATACAATTTGCTCAAATTTTCATGCTCAAATTCAAGGTAAAAGTCTAAAATTCCAAGTTCTAGGTCTTCCCCAAAAATCCCAAGTTTATGCTAATTTTCCATGTCTAAATTCATGTAAGATCACATATTTAACTCAAAAATAGGAAGAAATCACTTACCTAGTGTTGCTTAGTGAAAATCCCTCCTTGAGCTCTCCAAAATAGTCCAAGCCAAATGAAATAAATGAAAGAAATGGGCTGAAACTCGTGTTTAAAACAATCTGCCCAGGCTTCATCGAGCCTTACGTTGTGCAGGTTGTACATCCTATTACCATTTTCCCCTGCTGTACACCTTTTATTAAAACGCCCATAACTCCTTGTGAAAATATCCAAATGACAAACGGTTTGAAGATTTAGAAACTAGATTCAAAGTTCTTTCATTTGATAGATTGTACACCATATAACTCTTTATATATTCCGAGATATGAGCTTCTAAAGTAGGCTCCATGCATCAGAAAATTCTGTCGAAACTGCTCCACCAGCCATTTCCCATCGATCATAACTTTCTGATAAAATGTCCAAATCATGAATGGTTTAACTTTCTGGAAACTAGAATGCAAGGGCAACAACTTTTATGTTTTAAAAATTTTCAGATTCCTTATAGATTTCAAGATATAAGCTTCCAAAATAGCCTCCTCGATTGCACCATTGCTGTCCAAAACAGCAGTTGCAGCAGATTTTCAGCAGCTTTAAAGTTCCGAAATCGATCTGTTAGCCTTCCGAAATCCACCCGAGACCCTCGGGACTTCAAGCAATTATACCAACATGTCCCAAAATACAATACGAACTTAGCCGAGGCTTTAAATCACATCAAACAACGTCAAAATCATGAATCGTACTTCAATCCAAACTTTATGAACTTTGAAATTTCAAACTTCTACATTCGATGCCGAAATCCGTCAAATCACGTTGGATTGACCTCAAATTTTGCACACAAGTCATATTCGACATTACGGACCTGCTCCAACTTTCGGAATTGGAATGCGACCTCGATATCAAAAAGTCAAACTCTCGATCAAACTTCTCAAAAACCTTCAAATTTCTATTTTTAGCCAAATGACTTCAAAATGACCTACGGACCTCCAAATTCACTTCCGATCGCGCTCCCAACCCCAGAATCACCATACGGAGCTATTCCCAGACTCAGAATCCCAAACGAACATTGATAACCCTGAAATGCACTTCAACCCAAACTTATGAAATTCCTCCAAAATGCTAACTTCCACAATAGGCGCCAAAATGTTCCCGGGTCTTCCAAAACCCGATCCGGACATACGCCCAAGTCTAAAATCATCATACGAACCTACTGGAACCTTCGAATCCCGATTTCGAGGTCGTTTACTCAAAAATTCAATCTTAGTCAATTCTTTCAACTTAAAGCTTCCGAAATAAGAATTCTCTTTCCAAATCGACTCTAAACTTCCCGAAATTCAATTCCGACCACGCGTACAAGTCATAATACCTGAAGTAAAGCTGCTCATGGCCTCAAACTGCTGAACGATGCACTAGAGCTCAAAACGACCGGTCGGGTCGTTACAGTTAGTGAATCTTCATTGCAGCCCTCAAGTTAAGCAACAAAAAAAAAATTGCAAAAGAGGAAAAATCCAGTAGGTAATTCGTAAACATCTATGTCGTATCGCTAATTTATGAAGCTTGTCAGGGAAGTTGCTCAAAGAGAGAGAGATTCTTCTTTCTCGTTGGCCATCAATACAAGGGCTTGAGTTGATTGAAGAGAGAGAAGAAAAAATCTGAGAGAGAATCTTGTGTTAATTGAAAGAAAGAGAGAGGAAAAACATTAATAGCGTATTTCATGTATCAATGGTAATATATAACATAAATATCTATTTTGCTATAAAATATAAAAGGTAGCTATAGAAAATAATATTCTAAAATAATTTTGGTTTATCATAAATAAGGTGTATACCTTGGTTATAGGAGGTAAAATTTCTCACAAAATTTGTATTGGGGAAAAACCTTATATAAAGATCATTTTTATAATTATATTGTTATATAGGTAAACTCAGTGAAATTCAATGACTATATATGAATAGCATAAGTGAACTTGGTCTTCAAAGCATGGCTGGAAACTCATTGTTGCAAAAAAGGCCACGTGCTTTTAAACAAAGACACTCCATTCTGTTTTATAAAATTTCTGTCTATTTCTCTTGATAAGTACTTATCCAAGATGCTTTTGAGAAGTTCTAGGTAAGTTAGAGGTGCAAATTTCCCCTTCTACACTTGAAATTTAGAAAAGTAAAACGAATGACTTAAAATAAAACACGTTTAAATTCTTTCGGACTCCTCCACAGTGTTTATTTATTGACTATTGACAAGAAGGACATTCTAGTGTACTGGATGCAGGATTCAAGAAAAGGACGTATAATCAAACCTTTCAATGATATTTTTAACTGTTATAGAAAAATAGTGTTATATAAGACATATAATAATATATAAAATAAAAATTGCTTCTGAGAAAAATTTAGCTTTTATAGTGAATAATTGTTATATAGGGATAATGTCAGTGGCGGAGGCAGAATTTTAACGAATGGGGTTCAAACAAGGAAAAAGTTAAAAAATTAAAAGAATTTATGGTTAGTGGGGAACTGAACCGGTACCTCTCAAAGGTTTTGAACCCCCTTGACCACTAAGCAATGCTTTAGGCCGTGTTAAGGGGATTCAAAATATAATATAAAAAGGAAAAATAAATAAATTTTGCCTTATATACCCAATATAATTTTTTGACGAAGGAGTTTTGAGTGAGCACCCTTCTGCCCCTAAATTCGCCCTGAAGGTTGTTATAAAGAAATCTAACTGTATGATATTTGCACAATATTGCTATCTCTTTCTAGATGCATGCTATTTATGTGGTTTGGATTCATGAGCACCAAATTATATGACAACAACTCCTACCTTAAAAATATATGACCTTAAATTCATTTTATATCACATTCGTTGGTTAGATACAAAACTTAAAATATTAATTTAACATGTATACCATATTACTAGTAACTAGTAATGGAAGAAAATAGAGAAGTGATAATTAAAAAAAATTCAATTTGAACGTAACAAGACCTCATCAAGTAAAAAATGTAAATAGTTTAAAACATTTGATTCTTAAACATTTTATTAGAAAATAAACTGTATGGAATATTGTAGAAATGACACTTGGTATTACTCTAAGGGGCTACTATTTAGAAATTAGCCAGTGTGTCCTGAAATTCAATTTTTCAATTTAAATTTTCAAGATAAAAATATTCTGAGTTGTCCTGAAATTAAGATATTTAATTCAAAATTTTAGGGTAAAGTAAATACTGGCTAATTCTTAAATAGCATCCGTAAAAATGGTTATCTGTCCACTTGCCCCTAGAATATTCTACACATATCAAAATTAAATTTGGAGTTTCGACAAGATCACAACCATATAAATTGGATCAAATCAAAGAGTGTATGAATACAAAAATGGAAAACATTATTCTAGAGTAGTCCCAAGGAATAAACTGTTGGATGCTCTTGATTTCCTAATAGAAAATTCTCCTCCTTTCCCGAGATACCTACCACGTGTCACATATTTGGTCTCTTTTGGCCGATTGTAGAAGCTTTACCTAATTTTCACTTATAGAAAATTTCTCTCTCACCTAACGGCCAATTCCTGCCAAACAGCCTTTGTGTTTTAAAACAGTTGTTTTTTCAACACAAAAACAGATTTCACAATCTCAACTTTACGAAGAGCTTCTCTTTCTCTCTCTCTCGGTTTCGGATCCGTGCGAAGCTCTTTAACCCCAACAAGGTATTATTCTTTCTTCAACCCATTTTAGTTTCTTTTATCTCTTTCTGTTTGTTTATTTTTTTGGGTAATTTGCATTTTAGTTTTCGTCCATTTTGCATATATATGATATTTGTTCAACCCATTTTTTTTTTTTGACATATGATGTTTTTCTTGAATTTACTAGTAACAGAGTCAGAATTTTCACCAAGGGAATTAAAAATAAAAAAAATAAATTCGTGAAAAAGTTAAGGAGATTCAAGGCCTAATATATAAAAGGGCAGCCCGGTGCACACAAAACATCCGCAATCACGCAGGGTCCGAGAAAGCGCCGCACACCAAGGGGTGTGATGTACGCAACCCTGATGCAAGCATCAGCGGCTGATTCCATGGCTAATATATATATGTATAAAAATATTTGGCCTTATATACACAATATACTTTTCCGGCGAAAGGGATAATGTTGGGTATGTTGTTGTTGTTCTTGTATGCATATACTTGTCCCGCGAAAGGGATTTGGATGAAGCCCTTCCGTCCCCTAGCTCTGCCCATGGCTTGTTAATCCCTTCCTTTTCTAGCTAGATATTGGACTTGATGAGATAAATGTGTCCAATGTGCTGGAACATGATGCCCCTTTAGTTTGAAAATTATGGTTTCTAAGGACGAAATCTTAAATTTGGAATGACCCTTTTAACTGGAGTTCTATTCTTAAGGTAGAGCAGGGACGGAGCTAGATAGGAATAAGGGGGTTCAATTGAATCCCCTTTATTGAAGAATTATACTGTGCAAATAGAGAAAAACCAGTTTGTTTTGTTATTTGTAAAATGTTTAATCCCTTGACATAACTTTTTTTTAGTGTAGTGGCAAAGGGGGTTCAAAAGTTGCTTTGTGTCACAGGCACAAATCTGAAGTGTAACATTTTAGTATTTTTTTAATTCTCTTGTATAATATCCTCGCGCTGCCACTGAGGCAGAGTGTGTCATAAGTTAAAAAGTGATATTCATCTTGATGTAATTTTCTTTTGATTTTGCCCTACTCCTAATACAACGGATACTACTTTAAATTCACACCTCAGTTTTCATAGTCACAGATTTTTGCTTGTGTTTAAGGAAATAATTGCTAAGCTTGCATTGGAAGTTCCTGACTCTCTCTCTCTTTTACTTATTGATGATCAGTGCTTGTTGAAGCAAAATAATTGGGATGCAGAAGGATGGGGTTATATAGCAGCGATTACCTTTTGGAGGCTACTAAATTTCAGTGTGCATTGTTGTTAGTCTTCCTCATCCTTCGTGATATCAAATATGCAGCTCACGGCACACTTAACTTCTCGTGCCAGATGCACAATGAAGCGACAACCCTTATACATCTCGTCATGCTGAAGCACAGTCTTGTAGGAGACGGTTGAGCTCCGTAACAAGGCCTCCTGCCTGTTATAAACGAGCATCATTACAGCAGGAGAAAGTTAATTGTAGTTGTTATTAGGATTGTCGGTTCAAATGGAGGAGAAGAAGGGAAATGTATTGATGCAAAAATATGAGTTGGGGAGATTATTAGGTCAAGGAAATTTTGCTAAGGTTTATTATGGAAGGAATCTTGAAACGGGACATAGTGTAGCCATCAAGGTAATTGACAAAGAGAAGGTTCTCAAGGCCGGACTGATCGAACAGACAAAGAGAGAGATATCTGTTATGGCACTGGTTAAGCATCCAAATGTTCTGCAGCTATACGAGGTTATGGCAACTAAATCTAAGATTTACTTAGTGATTGAACATGCCAAAGGCGGTGAGCTTTTCAAAAAATTGACAAAGGGGAGGCTCAAGGAAAATGTAGCTAGGAAGTACTTTCAACAATTGATTAGTGCTGTTGAGTGTTGCCACAGCCGAGATGTTTATCACCGTGATCTGAAACCAGAAAATGTGCTGCTGGACGAGAATGGAAATCTTAAGGTATCAGACTTCGGATTGAGTGCGTTGGCCGAGTCTAAGAGGCAGGACGGCTTACTCCACACAACATGTGGAACCCCGGCTTATGTTGCACCTGAGGTGATTAGCAGAAAAGGATATGACGGCGCCAAAGCTGACATCTGGTCTTGTGGTGTGATCTTATTTGTCTTGTTGGCTGGTTATCTTCCATTCCACGACTCAAATCTTATGGAGATGTATACGAAGATAAAGAAGGCTGAGTTCAAATGCCCAAATTGGTTCCCGCTAGAAGTGCGGAAATTAGTTTCCAAGATCCTCGACCCGAACCCTCATACAAGGATTTCCATAGCCAAAATAAAGGAGAACTCCTGGTTTAAGAAAGGATTGGATTCAAGAGAAGTTGAAACCAAAGTACAAGAAAAGGAACAGTTTAACCTAGATGCCAATGCTATTAGCGGTGCCTGTACACATAACAGTATCTCTCCCTCTGCATCAAAATTAGAGTTGCCAAAACCTACAAATCTAAATGCATTTGATATAATCGCTCTTTCAAGTGGATTTGACTTATCTGGTTTATTCATAAGAAAGGATCAGAAGGAGGAACTGCAATTCATTTCAGTGAAGCCTGCCTCTGCTATCTTGTCCAAGCTTGAGGAAGTCGGCCGGAACCTAAAGCTGGAAGCAATAAAAAAAGAAGCTGGATTTATAAGATTAGAGGGAGTAAATGCGGCTAGATATGGGACTCTGTCCATTGATGTGGAAATTTTTGAAATTACACCGTCCTTCCACTTGGTTGAGCTGAAAAGGTCGTATGGCGATAAGGTGGAGTACCAAAAGATGCTGAGACAAGTTATAAGACCTGCTCTCGAGGAAATTGTTTGGTCTTGGCAAGGTGAGCAGCCAACTAATAGTTAGTAGAGACACTAAAAAGAACTTCTGATGTCCTGATATTCACTCTGTAAGTCATTTTCACTTTAGCAATCAGTTTTTACAGTAGTACTTGTCTGTTTGGTTTTTTGTCCTAATTGTCAATTATACTATGTATCAGCTTGTTTTAGGCACTTGTCTAAGCATATTATAGACACCTTATCTTATTAATTTTTTCAAGTTCTTTTGCTGTTCTTTTACTGCTGTAATTCATGAGTGATCTACATTTTTCTGGCTTCTCTTGCACTCTTCACGAAATTTAGGAATAGTAGCATTAGTATTTCCAGTCAATGCCAAAGTTGATGATAACCACAGGGAAGTATCATAAGGTTCGCACTCATGAAACTTGACTCTTTTGTCTGGAAATATGGTGATTTGGCTCAGTGTTGTCAAAGGCTCATTTAAGGTATGCTTAAGCCCTCAAGCTCAGAAAAGCTCAAGAAGGGCGCTTCGCCTCGCTCAAGTTGCGGTTCAGTGCAAGGCAAAGCTCTAAGTCATCCGCCTCATTGCCATGAATTTTATTGTGAATCAAGTGGCACTAAACAACAAATATAATCGAAAAATAAGTGTATTTAGCTGTAAAGGAAAACGTTATATGTTCTAATTACATATATATTTTTATTTTTCCCTTGTTTGCGCCTTTTTTTATTAAAGCCCACACTTCTAGTGTGCTTTGCGCTTAAAGCCCCAGTAGGCGTAGAGCGCTTTTTAGAGCTTTTCGCCTTTGACAACACTAATTTCGCTCTTAGATTAAGCATTTTCCACATTTCCTTGTCTCTAGCTAATGGCTAATAAGCAATTTTCTTTCTGTTTGAAAGACAAGTATTAACCATTTTGCTGCAAGGCGCTCCATTCTTCCTCCATCTTACATGGCTAATAAATTTGGTGTTTGCCTTTTTTTTAATTTGGCAAGATATAGTGTATTATTAATGGTAGTACCAAGAAGGTATTGTAATAAAACAATAAGATGTTACAACTGCTCCATTACATCCTTGAGCTCATAGAGTCAGAAAAACCAAAAAGCTGTGTCACCTCTCCAACTATACCTGTTCCGTACACCAAACAAACGGACTCTGTAAACACCTATACTTAACAAAAGATACACATGATACTACATAAAGGGATAGTCCTCCATATCAGCTTAGTATTACTGCCAACTTTCTGTCGTTGCCGACATAGGGGAAGACTCTTCACATCTTACAGCATGACCCATTGAACCATAAATATATTTAGGAACATTGCTCAAACCGCTTATCGCTTACTCACAAAACAAAAAGTATATGGTGCACATCTGAAAGCCCCTTCTTTGTAGCAACTGGTACTTTATCCTACCAATTATTTTGTGATTTTCTTAGTACAATTGAGCCCTAACAGACCTTTAGGTTGTTATTAACAAAACCTTATCTTGATTCAACCGGAGTAACTCTTTTGGTAAGGGATTCAATCAGTGTAACTTGGATTACCTGCAATAAGTTTAGTTTTCTATTGATTAATTGTGAAGTGTTATCTTCTATTACTTCTAGGTAAATTGATGGTCTTAAGGTATCTTGACTTTATCCTTGTAACTGAACAATAAACAGGAATACTCCATTCTACTAGTTAAGACATCATACTACTAGAGTTCAATCCTTGCTTTTGTTGATGAATTATAGTTTGGCTGTTTGGGAGATGTTCAAAATGTCAAGTTTGACATGATAAATATAATCGCTCATCGGAAAAATCAATAGTCCAAAAACCATATAGAGGAAGACGAAACAAGAAGATGACAATTGTTGGAGCCATTGAGAATGGTGTAGTAGTGGAAGGAAAGTTGTAGCATAAATATGAGGATGTAATGTATGAAGCAAAGCAGAATTCTCAAGGAATTACATTAAAAAAATGGGTACAATGAGCTGAATCAATGAAAATCACAATGATCTTCGATATCAAAACAACTTATACGATAAAATAAAACACACCACTTAGATGTGATCATATTAAAGCCATACATACAACTTAGGAGCAAGGTAAAAAAGTAGATGGAGATGCAAAGAAGTTAAAAGCCAAGGAGATGATGGAAATTATAGAGGAGAATGGCTTTAATATCAATTACTAGTAGGCTGGTGGTGGAGGTGAACTGTAGGTGGGAGATTGCTCGTACTTTACTGGCGGGGGAGGTGATGCGTAGGTGGGAGTTTGCTTGTAGTAGCTTGTTGTTGTTGGTGGTGATTTGTAGTATGATGGTAATTGTTCATCAATTTTTGGTAGAGGTGGTGTATTGTAAGTCGTAGGTAATTTCTCGACGTACTTGGGTGGGGGTGGAGGAGATTTGTAGTATGGTGGAGGAGGTGATTTATAGTAAGTTGGTGATTGCTCGTAGTATTTTGGTGGTGGAGGTGGAGATTTGTATGAAGGCGACTGCTCGTAATATTTTGGTGGAGGTGGGGGAGATTTGTAAGAAGACGATGACTGCTCGTAGTATTTCGGTGGGGGTGGAGGTGACTTGTAATAGGAGGGTGAATGTTCATAGTATTTTGGAGGGGGTGGAGGTGACTTGTAATAAGAAGGTGATTTCTCATAATACTTTGGTGGTGGTGGAGACTTGTAGTAAACTGGTGACTTATAATATTTTGTTGGTGTTACTGGCTTGTTATATTTCGCAGGAGCAGGTGACTTATAATATTTTGTTGGTGTTGGTGACTTGTAGTAATAATGCTTTGAAGGAGCAGGTGACTTGTAGTAATAGTGCTTTGAAGGAGCAGGCGATTTGTAATATTTTGTTGGTTTTGGTGCTTTGTAGTAATCATGCTTCAAAGGTACCGGTGATTTGTAATAATCGTGTTTCAAAGGTAGAGGTGATTTGTAATATTTTGTTGGTTTTGGTGCTTTGTAATAATTATGCTTCAAAGGTAGAGGTGATTTGTAAACATTTGGTGAATGGCTAGGGTACTTTGATGGCGAAGGCGACTTGTAATAGTGTGAAGGATAATGTTTGTAAGAGACCGTCACCTGGGCATGGTACTTTGAAGGCGAAGGTGACTTGTAGTACTTAGAGGGTGAGGGAGAATTGTAGCCATAAGAGTATTCAGCAACAACAGTAGTTGCTACTAAGCAAATTGCCAAAGTAAATGCAAGTAGGGGCCATTGTCCCAATATCCCAGAAGTTCTCATGTTGATTTTGCAAACCAACTATACTTGGAAAAGGAAAGGTAAGAACTAAAGACTTGTCTTGTATAGTTAAGGACCTTTGCTTTTATATAGCAACATGACAACTTTTTTACATATTTCTGTAATGGTTTTATGGCTGCCCACTAAGTTTATAGAAAAGTCCAAATAAGGCGTTCTCTGCATTACCTGAAATGGAGAAGTATAAGCTGTTTGACAGTATCCCTCTCAATTAATTAATCATTTGCTAATTTGTGGGTTGTATACACAAAATTATGGTATACCACAAAGTTTGACTTTATCCTTTAGCAAGAAAGAAGATGTTCGTGCCTTTTTTTCTTTTTTAACTTTAGTTGAAAACTAAACTCTGCCTGTGTGAGCACAGCCGGAGCCAGGATTTCAAGTTTATGGGTTCGAAATTTTAGTTGTTTTAAGCTACTGGGAACCAAATAAATAATTTATATATTTTTTTCAAATTAATGAATTTACCAACTTGTATTTCATTTAATTAAAATGGGTATTGTAATTTATATATTTTTTTCAAATTAATGAATTTCTTTGCTATTTGATAATTTTCATACATCTCCTTGATTTATGCATGCCTATGGTAGAGCCAAATTAAATTTTCAACATTTTTTCAATTGTTGCAACATATCAAGAGAAAGGAAAAATATTTTCCAAAATTCCTCAACCTTCTACACCCTATTCCCCATCCCCACCAACTCACCCTACCCCCACTCACCCAACACCAACCCCACCCCACGCCCACCTACCCACCCCACCCCCTAAATAAAAATATTATTAAAAGTACTTTCTTTTCACATTATTTATTTTTTTTTCATTTTAGCAAATGAGTATTTTTTTTTCATGACATAAAAAGTTTTTTTTATTTTAAAAAAAAAAGTACTTTCTTTTTATGATGTAGAAAAATTTTCTCTCATTTCCACAAAAAAAGTGTTTTCCTTTCATGATGTAAAAAGAATATTCTTTTTTTCCATTTAACAAAATGAGTATGTTCTTTTCATGATGTAGAAATTGTATTTTCTTTTATTTCAATAAAATGAGTACTTTATTTTCATGTTGTAGAAAGAGTACCTTTCTTTTTCAACCAAAAAATGAATATTTTCTTTTTAATTATGGAGCACAAATTTCAATGTTATTTTTGCGTAAAAAAGTAAAGTAGCACATTTAGTTCCTTTGGGTTTAAGTGAATTTTTAGAAGAATAATTAAATACTTGAAGAAAATAGAGTCATGAAAACATTGGGCATTTGTGTGTGTGGTGGGGGGGGGGGG